GCTATGAATGTACTTACGCTTTTTCGCGGCTGGGGTCATGATACTTGTTAATAGCACTACGGAAGGCGAGGCATGTGATCTACAAAATGACGGTTGGTAGCGGTTTTCTATTTGGACTGAGTAGTCGATGACCTCCATAGTTAAAACTGGCGTTTGACACATGAATAACTGTGACAATATCTAGTAAATCATTGCTTTAATATTTAGAGATTGCCAAAACTCTTCGTCGTTTAGTAAACGATTACCTGAAACGTTTACTATGATTTTAGTCTTATAGAATAAATAGGATTTTCGCGACGACGGAATCTTTGTGCGCTTTCGAACGACTAAGAGACATAAAAGTACAAAAATTTTATCAATCTGTGCTATCTGTGCAAATGTAATAGAAGTCACTCAAGCATGATTATACTACATCAGTTGTACTTTCTAAGTGCTAAGAGGCGATCCCAACGGTTGGCGCGTCTAGCCATTTTCTGAAGATTTAAAAAAGCAGCACGTGTTCGGTCATCAACGGACGTTATCAACCTATTTCAGTAATGCCATCTTGAAATTTAGATTAAATTTTTAAATCAAATTCATATTCGACACTTTTTGCCAGTAAGAAAATAAATGTCCCAAACATCTAAAACCAGAGAGCGGCGGCTCAAAACTCTAATATTCACATAGCTATCATAGTCAGCACCTACTTTTCTCCGTACCCCCTTTCATAGATCCATAGAACGTTTTGTACACTACCGTACTCAGGATGGTGAAGTAGTTTAAGGCACTGCGTTTAGGTTTTGTGTGTGATTTTCCGGGCAAGAGCCGAATCCTACTTCTAACATATAAAGTGAGTGTGAACAGTAAGATAATTCAGGTTGCCACCACTGCTGAGTTTATTATTTCGCTATCCGGAAACTTGGTCTTGTTTTACTTTCAAAAGTTCTCAAAAGCCTGGAACTTTGAATAAGGCTCCACTTCTTCATACATCTGCATGCAATGCGACGTTTCTATCAAAACACCGAGTGCAATATAATACATATATTATATATAGTTCACTCATGGCTGCAAGCTTCTTCAAAATAAAAATACGCTTGGATCAGATCGAGTGAGTAGAATTAGCTTGCATGACCTATACATTCAATCCGACAAAACTGATATTATCCGTTTAGTAAAGCTATACTTATCATATTCAGTAAGTGGCTTAAATTTCTTCTCGCTTGACACCAGTCGCCCGCTCATAGTATTAAGCACGGCATGAGACTGATATGGGTAGCCACCTATTTTTGAACGTTTACAGGGGTTCTAAACATCAAGTTGCACTTGAAAGAACGTGTACAACGTAATAGTACACGTACAATGTTACTTGCGCATCGGCCTACGACGCCGACTCCTTCATATCCTTGCAGGACTCTTTTAATTATTTCCATATTTTTAAATTTACAACTTTTTGGTGCGTACGGTGTCTAATAAATCGATAGTATAACTAAGAAGTTTGCTCGTGATGTCCCCAATAAAAGTCTAACGGTATAAATCTTAATTTGAGTGTTGGTTGTTTCTTTGCATGAGTATTACAGATAGACAGGAACGGAAACGTTTATATTATATTGCACAAATAGCTGTATGATTAGCTATTACCTTCATTACAAAGCTGCCACCGTAAGTTACCAGGACAGAGGCCAAAGCTTTATTAAAGCAAGTCTCAAGAAATTGAATCTAGCAGCCACGAACGAAGTTGTGGAAACATGCGAAATGCTCAGAATCATCTTTGATTGGTGACTAATCGGACTCAGCAATTTCCTTAATTATTATGAGTCTCAGGCCATTATATGCCACCAACACACTCATTGATACTCCTTAGTGAAGACCTACAATACGGATGTATTCGAAACTGACAGCTTTCATCAGTTGCCATTTTTGCGATCATCAACAATGCCTTGTTATTGTCCTTACTTGATTAGGCTCCGACTGGAACTATGCATGGCCTTTTTCACTAAGTCTGAGCACCTTGTCGCTTACGCACAAATTAGTGTGCTTTTTGCGTCTATGATAGATGTCAGACCTACCTCATCCCGTACTACAGAATCGTATCTGTACATATGTTTGCCTTTAATAGGCAGAACTACATTATTTGTAGCAGTATATTTAATTGTTTATAATCACTACTAAGGTAACCGGGTGATGGCACTGCACCACTATTTGGGTACAAGTCCAAATGAGCCTAATTGTTGCTCAGGTCGAACTTCTGTAGTAAAAAGTTCGGTTTTAAACTAAAATGTTGTTTCCTACGAGAAGTATGGGTCGCCTCAAGAAGTCGCCGTGTGCCCGTCGTGGCCAGATGCGCCTTCTCACAAAAACGGTGCTCCCCAATCCAAGTCTGATCATCATGTTGGGTCTGTCAATAAGAAATTGCGCCTGCTACCCAATAGACGTAAATAGAATAGAATAGAATAGGAATAGATGTAAAGTTCTCTTTGATGTAAAATCCATGCTTTTGTCGAACAATAGTAATTACTTGCCTGTGAATAGGTATATGGTCAAATGAAATGTCGTGAAGTATCTTTTAAGTACAAAAGTCCTCGAAGTAAATAG